TAATGCAGCCAGTCATGTGAAGTGAGTGTTGGTAGCAAAAGCGCCGCATCAATCACATGAAGTAGGCTGACCATGGTGACCATTAATAGTTTGCCATAAGATATACTCTTACACGTGAACTCATTCACACAGTAGCTCAGCTCAGTGCATCTCAGTTGGGATGAGAAGAATAATGATTAGTTATGCAAATAGTGTTGGTAGCCTGAAGTGCCAAAAACCATGTTGCATGACAAATGTGTGTTGCAAAACTCCACAGAGCCAGCTCATTGCACAGAGTACACTATTTGTTCTAGCTCAAAATAGCAGTGGAGCTGAAAGAATAATATTTATTAGCCGGGCAGACTAGTGTTTGGTAGCATGAAGCGCCAAAAACCATAGTGCACGGCAAATGTCAGCTGTGGAGTCCGTGCATAAAAACAGTCACATGAACAAGAGTTGGAAGTGTAAGCGCCAAATCAATGTACGTGCCTTAATTAATGCAGTGCAGGAGTAGAGACAGGAAAAACCCTGCTCACTCTGTAGCCCGAGTCACTATGGCATTAGGTGTAAAACAGCTTGCCATAGGAGTTTACTCTAGATATGCGAGCGTGCCCAGGGATTTGTTTCAGCTCAAAGCATCAGCGGAGCTGAAAGAAAAATTAACAGCCGGGCAGATTAAGGCTTGGTAGCATGAAGCGCCAAGACCATAATGTATGACAAACATCCGCTGCAGGATTCCTAGAGTCTGTGCCTGTAAGCAGTACACGAAATAAGATCTGGAAGCGTAAGCACCAATTCAAATGCACGTGCCTGCATTAGAGAGGAAAACCCGTCTGCTCAACTCTACAACCTGAGCCATGTAGCATTAAATGCTAAAACAGCTTAATGTTTCAGCTCAACGCAGCAGCAGAGCTGAAAGAAATATTATATTACTCGGGCAGACCAACGCTCGGTAGCATGAAGCACATGAAGAGGAGAAATTGCCAGCTCACTGTTATAGCTTGCTATAAGAAATACAATGAAACACAGTGAGCTCTTCCACTTATTTCAACTCGACGCAGCAACGGAGCTGAGAGAAGTAGTCGGGCAACTAATGCTTGGTAGCTCGAAGCGCCAAATCATAGTGCACAACAAACATCTGCTGCAGGACTCCTCAGAGTCTGCGTCTAAAAAGAGTACACGAACAAGAGTTGGAAGCATAAGCGCCAAATCATATGAACGTGTCTGCATTAGTACAGCGCAGCAGGTAACGTAGAGAGAGAGAGGGGAAAAACTGCCTGCTCACTGTTATAGCTTGCTATAAGAAATGCAATGAAACACAGTGAGCTCTTCCACTTATTTGTTTCAGCTCAATGCAGCAGCGGAGCTGAAAGAAATAGTAATTAGTCGGGCAAACTAATACTTGGTAGCTCGAAGCACCAAAAACTAGGGATGCACCGATACCGATATCGGGCCCGATACTGAGCTTCTGTACTCGTACTCGTTAAAATGCCCCGATACCAAACACCGATACCACACAGCATGTGATAAGTGCCATATTCAGACAAAGAAACACCGACAACAGAATGGAGTTATTAGATATTAAAGATGTCTACAAAGTACAGTATATGTATGCAATGAATATAAAACATTCAGCATTAATGCCTGTATTGCTGATTTGCGCCAGCTGGTAAGCAAATCACGCTGAGTGGAATGAGCGCGTGGCGGCACAGATGTGCGAGCTTGTCGAGTGAATATCCCTTTCTCACAGACATCACTGGAAAGTGTGTAGTTCGGTCGGATGTCAAAAAGAAGTAAAACAATGCACAAGTTACTCTGTTGTGTGATCGTTGATGTTCGCTCACTTAGCACGCATCATTTGGATCAAAACTAAATTGTAAATATAAGACAATTTATAGGGGCATTCACTATAAACGTCATTTATTTTTACCCTTAAGCATGTATGACTTTCTGGCAAAAGTGAAACTAATAACAGCCTGTGTGAAATGCGCTAGGCTGTACTGTACTTGTCCCTCTCAGTCTGCTCTAGTACAAATACGTGTGCGCGTTGCACGTGTTTTGCTTGCTTCATGAATGTTTCTGCATTATATGGCTTTGGAAAATAAGTCGCTGCACGCTTCAGATGAAAAAAACGCGACTTCTATTTATGAAAATATCACAGTTAGGAGATTTAAAGCGAGTGGTTCCCTGCATTATTACAGCAAAGCGCGTGATTACAGTACTAAGCCGCCGCAATGGAGCAGCTCTAATGCTATTCAATTAAAGGTGATGTAGGCTAACATAGAGAGAGAGAAAAATTAACAGTGAAAGTAACAAAAACTTGTAAAATAAATTTTAATGGGCATAATTAAGTGTGAAAATAACAGAAGGATATACAGTCAAACCAAAAATTATACAGAGACCAGATATCATTTTTTACATTCTTTTACTAGTGGGAGTAGGACACTATAGTTCATTTATGTAAAGTGAGGATAGCAAAATAAGTGATGTAGGCTAACATAGAGAGAGAGAAACATTAACAGTGAAAGTAACAAAAACTTGTAAAATAAATTTTAATGGGCATAATTAAGTGTGAAAATAACAGAAGGATATACAGTCAAACCAAAAATTATACAGAGACCAGATATCATTTTTTACATTTTTTTACTAGTGGGTGCAGGACACTATAGTTCATTTATGTAAGTGAGGATAGCAAAATAAAGTAAACCGTGACAAATTATGCCCAAAAATTCTTCACACAGTGGACTACCAGTAAAACTGATATAAATTTGGGACTGAAACTGAAAATTAAGTACAGGTTTGCATGAAGCTGGATGAAAGCATGCCCAGGAGACTACAGGCTGTCATTAAGGCTAAGGGTCACCCGACAAAGTATTGATAGTTGTGTAAATAAAAGTGAGGATAGCAAAATAAACTAAACTGTGATATATTATACCCAAAAATTCTTCATACAGTGGACTACTAGTAAAATTTATAAAAACTTGGGACCAAAAATTATTTAGACCGAGTCTGGGAAAAAATTGAAGTTCAGGTTTGCATGAACCCCGATGACAGCATGCCCAGGAGACTACAGGCTGTCATTGAGGCTAAGGGTCACCTGACAAAGTATTGATAGTTGTGTAAATATTGACAGCTGTATGAATAATTTTTGGTTTATTGTAATCCATACCATTCCTTTCTATCTAAGTTATCTGACATTATCAAGCTGAATTTGTTCTGACACAGTTTATCTCTGAGTTCTTGTCATATTTTATTACCATTTTCTAAACTATAGCGAATAAACTGTGATAATGTGAGAAATGTTGAAGGTATCTGAATAAAAAATGTTGGTTTGACTATCTATTTGATATATTAAGTTAACCAACTAACATTATACATACTCTTTTGGTATCTGTACCCAATGTTTTAAAAATGTACAAATGCAATAAAAATATTGGTATTGGTACTCTCGGTATCGGCAAGTACCAAAAATAAAAGTATCGGTATCGGGCGAGTACTGAAAAAAGTGGTATCGGTGCATCCCTACCAAAAACCATAGTGCCCGACTTAACGTCCTAAATATCAGTGTCTCTCATGTTTGTTTAATAAACTTGAGAAACACTTGATCCAGGGAGGGAGTAGAGCAACGGGGATTTTATATCAGTAAACTCGCCCCTCAACCCATAGCTTATATCTACAGCTTGTGTCGCCTGCGAGCTCGAGCCCGCTGTAGGGTATGCATCATCTAATCCGCAGCCGAAAGAATCGATTAGGAGCTTCCGGAGCGGGAATCAGATTTTACTAACCACCTGACTCACGAGGCGCTCTTCTGATGAACGCACGGTCTGGGGAAGAGAGCCAGAGAGAATGGGATTAATTCCGTTCTCTCACTCTCTGTACACTCGGGCTCATCGCCGTCAACCCAAGCGTCGAGCTCGTGCGGTGCCTCGGCAACCGCAGAACTGGACCAGCGGGGGTTGAACGAACATCTATGGAGTCAAAATAATGCCACATATATATGCAAAATAATAAAGTTTTGCAAAAGAAAATAAAGTTTTGCAAACGAAAATAAAAGTATGGAGAAAAAAATAAATGTGTTTTTGCGAACAAAAATAAAGAATTGCAAAAGAAAATGAAGTATTGCGAGAAAAAAAGAAGTTTTGCAAACAAAAATAAAGAATTGCAAAATATAAATGAAACAGCAAAAAAGCAATGATTTTGCAATACATATTTTCCATGGCCATATCTACTAATTTATTTGCAACGCTGCTTTTATTTTGCGTTTCAGTCAAATTTGAGCTTGCAATACCGTTTTTCCCTTTGCGCTTCACGTTTCTGCGCGTCTCGCTTTCTAGCACTGTTTTGACATGGGGGCGGAGTCAAGGGACGGGGGCGTGTCCAACAGGCCTGGGCATGCCTCTCTGGAAGTGACGTCATCGGCCCGAGACAGCTCACTGATCCAGGCACCATCGTTGAGCATACCGGGTGGATCGTTTCCTTTTATTCTCTAGCATTAAAACATGCATGTTTTCATTTTATTAACAAATGCATGTGTGTATTAGCAGTGTTTGCTCAAGTTAAAGAAGTTGTTAACATGAACATCTGCTGTTTATTTCTCTCAATGTGCACACTTTTATAGCATTAAAATGTCTATTGTTTCATTTGGTTAACATTTGGTTTAAAATCTCTTAACCTGTGGGAGGACGCCAGCACACAGAAGCGCTTTGTTTACATGAGTTCAGAGTTAGGCCTACTGCTAGTTTTAATGTTAAAGAATGCAATTAACTTCGTAAACTAACTTGCATCATTAAAAAAAAGGTCTACGACTCAAGCTTCATATCGATCTCGACTTTGTTTTTCATTTACATCCATGTAACATATTTGTAAGTGCGACACACATCGTTGGCTTTTATCGTGTACCAGAGATTATAGCAAATAAACGTCTACAATTGTCAATCAAAACACACTATCTATACATCTCTATCGAATATAAAGTAATTATAGGCGGAAATGGAAGAGGATTAAACATTTAAATGTCTTACCATAGTAAATCAAGAGGCAAATTAAAAGATTCTTCATTTTCAATACTAAAATAATAATAAGAATGCTGATTGTATCAAATAAATGCAGTTTCCTTTGCAGTAATGAAGAACCAAAAGGGAAGCTCCCAGGGCTGCCAGGTCTTCTTCTTTTGTGTTTTATGGCGGTTGGCAAACCAGCTTAAGGTGCATTTCCGCCACCTACTGGGCTGGAGTGTGAGGCCTCGATGAACGAACATATTATATACTACTAATATAATAATAAAAAATATAAATAGAAAACAATTTTTTTTTACATAAATAACATTTAATAATGAAAAACCTAAATTCTTCTAATCAAATCTGTATCTCTCCGATATTTTAGAAGAAAATCATAAACCCTTAGATGTTTCTGTGCATTCTGAAATATATTCATAACTGAAATGTCATTGATTTCCATATCTCTTAGTTTTTCAACAAGTTGCTTTCTTTGTCTATTATATGCCTCACAATGTAAGAGCACATGTTCAACTGTTTCTGTTATTCCACAGTAACTGCAGCTATCTGACTCACTTTTTCCTATTATATGCAATGAATAATTAAGGTTAGAGTGTCCTATACGGATCCTGGTTATCAGAGTATCTTCTCTTCTGTTTCCATATACTTTTCTTTCAATCCCCACTTTCTGTTGAATGATAAATAAGTGTCTCCCTTTTGACTCTTTAACGGACGTAAATTTACTTTCCCTTCAGCCTGAGGCTTATTCATTTCACTTTTGGTGTGAAAAGGCTTTTATATTTGCCAAAAATATATATTTTTTTAAATTTTAAAATAAAACAAGCAAGCCCTGTCCAGATTAAAAAAGTAACGTAACGCATTACTTTCCATAAAAAGTAACTAAGTAACGTAATTAGTTACTTTTTTTATGGAGTAA